AGTATGCCTAGGTGTAATGAAGAAACTTCTTAAAATGTGGAAATGGAATCGCGCAGACCATCATGAACTCTACAGGTTAATCGATATATGCAGCGGCTGTTTACCCGTTGAATTTGCACGGAAGTGCAGGTCTCTGGAGCATCTAGATTACTGGAAGGCTGCAGAGTTCCGGCAATTTTATTGTGTATAGGTCCCGTAGGTTTACCCCGCTTTCTCAGTCGTGATAAGTATGATCATTTTTTACTTTTATTAATTTCTGTTAACCTTTTGTGTCACCCAAATTTGTACAAAACGTTTGCTGACTTTGCTCGGCGGTTGCTGAACACTTTTGTTTCTGAATTCCCCATTTTGTACGGCCCCACTACCCCAATTTATAATGTACATGCTCTCCTCCATCTCTCGGACGACGTAGATCGGTTCGGGGTGTTAGACCATTTTTCTGCGTTTCCATTTGAGTCTTATTTGAGATCTGTGCGTGATCAGGTTCACGAAGGCCCCCAAAAAGCCGTTCAGGTTTTCAATCGTATCTGCCAAAGACAGCGGCCGGAGTTACTAACACCCTGTATGTTGTTGGATGACGATGAGGGTGTTGCACGTTCCCTTACAATACCCCGTGGATCCACTGCTATTTTGCACAATGGTTACGTTTTATCCACGGGGGCACCGAATAATGTGGTTTTGCTCGGCGGGAAACCGTGTCTACTGACGGCTGTGTGGCCTGAGGGCATACATTATCGTCCGTCTGCAGATTGCCAGGACCTTTTGACAACATCCTTTGGTTCTTCAAAGTTGTTTATGTTTAAAGCTTCCGTCCTTGAGGACTTAAGCCAATCGGAATCCCTGCACGACATCGCATGTAAATACGTATCTTTTCACATTGACAGGGATTTTTATCTTATCCCCCTTTTGCACACTTTTTCCGAGCAGTAATTTTTTTTAATTTTCATTATCCCCCTCTGTTATTCATAAAACGCCTTGTGCCCACTGAAAATCTCCTTCTTGTCCAGATGTATTTAGTCGTAGAATTTATAAATGAGAAGCCTGTGGCCGTTGTGGCCAATTCGTGGCTCGTGGCTGACAACGTGGTTATGTGGCCGAAATCAGACAAGAAGCGAACGTCCCTGCTGGAGCGTAATGAGCGCCCACCTGACGGGACACCCGTGCACCCGCTCAGGGTCTTGAGTGAAAGTTTAACTCTGGCGCTGGCTCGTCAACGCGTCGAAAAAGCGTTGTATACATCG